AGTTCTAGGGAGTAGAAAGAAAAATCTTTCTCTTTTTCTCCAGAAAGATCGAGAAGTACCATATTGTCCTCCATCTACTAGAAATATTAATTTCAATTTCTTTCTTCTGTAAATTTGGAACTTTTTGACAAAAAGTATATGTGAATGTAAAGGCATGTACTTCTTTGGATGATGAGAGAAAATTCATTCAGACTTTTTTTTTGGTTTGTAGGTTGTGGGGCTTGAACTCTGGGCCTGGGCACTGTCCCTCAGCTCTTCAACTCAAGGCTAGCACTCTACCACTTGAGCCACAGCGCCACTTCCCATTTTCTGGTGGTTTATTGGAGATAAGAGTCTCACAGACTTTCCTGCCAGAGCTGGCTTTGAACTGCGATCTTCAGACTCAACTTCCTGAGTAGTTAGGGTTACAGGCATGAACCACTGGCACCCAGCTATTTTCACTTCTCGTGCTTTGACCAAGCATTTCTTTATTGAATAAATTAGTCTTAGAAATTTTCTCTTGAAATCCTTACTTGTAATTTTTTCCTGACAGGTTGAAATGAGTAATTACATTCTGAATTCCAGTATGTAGTTCTGAATTGTCTATGATTTGACCTGCTGGCTATGTTTCAAGTGATACATTTCTATGTCTACATATTGATGCTTCTATTTCTATAATTGCATTTAGGACAAAGGTGGAAAAGTCAAGATATAATGTGGCAGTGGAAAAATCAGATATGTTAGTGTGTTTTCAATTTTTCCCCCAGGGAGGAATCAGTGTTTGGAAAAGAGGCATTTGATACATATAGTTTTCTCAGAATAGCAATAACACCCATATTTCAAAATAACTTCCTAAACCTAATTGGATCTTTATTATGGTTGGTTGTTAGTTTGATCTTATCCCAGATTCTAACTTTTTTAGTTTAGCATCACAAAGGTACAGGCTTGAGAGAGGAGTATAAATCATTCATCTGCAGTGGATTCATGTGCATATGATAGTACTTAGGCTCTCAGCCAAATCATGAATGCAACATGTTAAAATAAATTATATTTAAATATCTTGAGGAATGTCTACATTCTTCATTTTTTATACCCAGCTCTCTTAAGAAATTATACTCCACCTACTTCTACAGGTATTTTAACTTCAGTTCCTTAAAGTGCAAGACCAGAATTTTATCATCAGTTTCTATTACTAACTCTGCTTCATTTCAGCTAGAAAAGTTTCTAAATAATTGATAATAAGCATCTTTAGAAAAATTTGTTTTAGGATAGAAGTAGAGAGTTGGTCAAATCCTTTGGGAATCCAAAGAGAGGACAGATATAGTATAGAGTTCTTGGAAACTGTAGCATAAAAAATTGTCTGCTCGTAGAATTTTGAGTACCAAAAAACTGTGAGCATAATGGATGTATGGAGAAAAAAAATGAAGAGAAGGGCAGGGGCATGTTTAGTGATGATATCTTCATTCTCTTATACTAATAGAATTTCAAAATGAGTCAAATACATATTTTACTTGATAAACTGAGTTTATATTCACCTATTGGAAACAGTACAACATATTTTACATCAGATTATGAAATATGGATGTTTTACTAAAAGACGGGAAGGACTTTTTCCAGTCTTTAAAGTAAATACATATTCAAAGGATCTTAAGGCATACCATTTATTCATATTCATATCTATTGAAATACTGTACATCCACATACTTCAATAAATAGTTAAAAACCTGACCTCTTTTTTAATCATTTCTGGATTTCAAAAAAAACAACTTTTATTGAAAAGATTAAATAGGTAACTTTTTGCTGTGTCACAAAGCTAAGCACAATGGGTAAATTAACAATTATTCGGCAATTTGATCAGTATAGATGATTGACTTTGATAGTTCAGTTTTTCAGCGTTTTCTGACTTCACACATAGGGGTACTTATGTATATATATATATATGTATATATTTTGTTCTGAATTATCTGGGTAATTTTCTTAGCTCTCCAGTCTACTTTCTAGATATAGCTTACATGTTACAATGAAGCATTAATTTTTCAGTGAAGTTGCAAATCCCCCAAAAGTGACTTTATGTTTGAAATTCTCTCTCTCAAATCTTAGTGTCTCAAAAAAGCATACAATACTATAGCTTGGGCAGTACTTTTCATTGTGTAATTGCTGCACAATAGGAACTTAATGGTGTAACAGGACTTACATTTCAAATAAGGTAATCAGAAAATATAATTACACCATTTGCTGTTAAACTGAGAATGCAAATGGATAAGTTAACTACCTTAATATTCTCATTCTTCCTTCCCTCTAATCTTTTCTCCTCTTCCTTTTATTGTCCTTCCTGTATACCATTTTTTCTCTTCATTCTTCTTTCTCAACTGTTCTTTATTTCTCATCTTTGAAAAAAAAAAACTTTAGGGGCAACAAAAGGAATCCCACAAATGGAACTTGTGGAAAATATAATGCTGAATGAATAGCTAAAAACTCGTTATAGATCAAATAATAAATCAATTTATAAAACTGCTATTCTGAAATTGTAACAATCTTGTACAGTCAGGACTGATAAAATGGAGTAATCAGACATTTCATATGTCCATAAATGTAAAATTATCTACTTGAACATTATATGCAATACATTCACACAAAAAAGCAAATACTGTAGCCTTATTTGAACAATATTGAACTCATAAATACTCATGATTTCACTCTGTCCAGGGGGTCTAAGGACTAGGAATGCTGCTGTGATACAGAAAAACATAGTGAATACCTCCTCTATTTAAAAATGCCACTCAAGAAAGTCTCTTCTAACATAAAGGCAAATACATATAGCTACTGAGCTATGACTGTACTTCTGTCACATCCTATGGAAAAACACCAGACCACAAATTCGGAATCATGACAACACTTTGAACTAATTATTTGGTTCATCCATAGTTTATACCTCAATTTACCTCACATTTACCCTACAAACCTTACAAAGAGGAGGTATTTTTATCTCTAGGAAAACAATCACTGTATAATATGCATTCTTGATCTGGTTCTTTCTCTCAAACAATGGTACAGATGGTTAACACTTTTGTGGTAGCACCACTATTTCTAGTAAGTAGATTATTATGGAGTGTGCCACTTTAAAGCTGCAATACAAAGAAAATATTTTGTAGTTTGTTCACCAATTCCACAAAGTTTTTTTTAAAAAAGCAAATAAATAATAAGTTTAAATGCCATATTTAAAAAAACCCATTTTAATACATTATTCAGTGTGTCATAAATTCTTTACAACTAGTAAATTTAATAGTATTATGTCATATTATTGCCATTTTGTGGGAAGACTGTATATTTACATCCCCTCATTTATGATTTAGTTTTCTAATTAAAATAGGTTTATGATGTACTTTGGATTTAAATTGTATTTGAAAAAGGTAACAATTTTTACTTATTTCTCTGAGGACATAATTAATTATCTCATATATGTATGACCTCTGTAAAAATTCTTGTCATTGGTATGACTTGCAAAAGGTGACTATTGGTAGAAATCTAGGTGTGCTGAAATTGGCAACTTCATCAAACCTGTAAAATGGCTTTCAAGGCTATGGTCTTTCTTTGGTTAAAAAGTCAGACCATTGGCCTATTCCTGTAATATAAGAGTTAGACTAACAGCATTTTCCTTCAAAAATGTAGTTTTTGTTTTTTACATAGAAAAATGTAATACTCACAATAATTTAATAGGTAATGTATCTTAATGTATTCTCATTACTGATGTCCTGTTTTTAGTGGATCACATCTTACATATGTCATGTAAGAAGAAATAAAGCATGGTAAGTTTTTGGCTTCACTTTGAGCTGAAATGGCTATAAAAAGATTTTATTGAAGGATCAGTTACTTTGGGGATTGATCTGCTTCCTATTAATATAGAGTATGTGTTATAATACATTTTGGAACTTTATTTTACAAAATATAACATGTATTTAAGACTATCAACTGAATGGTGTTTTCAGACAGAATATATGTAAAATGCTCCTGTCTGCAAGAGCGCTCTGTCATCCTAACCTAACCTTAACAAAGCCAAATTCATGTGGAACCTTTACCAACTCATGTAGTATTAGGTGATCGGACTCTGTCCTTTCTGCCAAATCATCTTTACAGTTTGGCTTGGAATGGTGAGAGAAAAGATGTTGTATTGCTAGATAACCTCTTGAGTAGACTGTGCTGTCATTTTAAAGGGAATTATTTCCCACAGAGGATCTAACATTTAATTTCAGCTACAGAAATCATATGGTACATTTGCTGTCATGTTATTAAATTGTTTTTCATCATGAAAACTGAGTTATTGTGGGGCAAAATCCTCAAACCCCACTGGTAATGAAGCAATACAGTCTGATAGCTCCTTCGTTCTTTAGAGAGGATAAAGTTCAACTTTATCATTGTGGTTTATTTTTGCTTCCAAATTGTAGGATTTCTAAAACATTTTGAAGTCATTGGAGACAAAGAGAAAAATATTATTTTATGAAGGCACACCCATGCTGAAATTACAGGAAAGAGAAGCAGAGCTGCACAGCCAGTTATATTACAAGGCTCATTCCTGAAACCTGAATGTCATGCGAGCAGAAAAATCTAGATATGTGTTATATTTTGAAGAAATGATCTGAAGGCAATATTATTTGCTTTTTATCAAAAAAGAAAAAAAAGAATGCATCTTTGTAAATGTGGATTGACTCTTATTGAAACAGGGAACTGAATACTTGTATTGCAGCCTTAAAGAATCACATATTCACTGCAATATTCGTTTTTTGTAAACTACAGCCTGCAACCTAGCAGACCATGACTGAATGCGTTTGAAAAGTTGTAGATTACAAACATGAAATCACAATTAATATCCTCTAAAAGTAATTTCAGAGCTTTCACGTCTTAAAAAAAGGACAATGTGTACTGCTTCACAAGGTAATGTAGCTAATCAAAAAAAAAAAAAGAGAGTAGAATTAAAGTATTTACATAATGAGCGATTCTACAGAAGGCGATCATCCCATGTAAGCACTGCTGATTACATCCCACGCTGCTTTTAACAAACTGTACCAGATTGGGACCAGCCATCAGCACTTTCAGAGAATCCTTAAAAGCCTTTTATGGGTCTTTAAATTTATTGTAGAATGGCATTCTTCAGGTAGAATATGCTGGTGAAAGAGGACAGTGTCAACACAAGGTACCAGCAGGAGAAAAGAACGTCAGCGCTCCCGGTAATTCCATACTGGGCTGTACTTGGAGCTGGAAAGAAATGGAAAAGATTAAATCAAAATCTAATTTGAGTCTTTCAGGATCTTAACAATAATCAAAAGGCAGCTGGTTGTACAGTTGAGTATTGGCTTTAGGGGTCAGACAGAATTAGGTTCGCATCTGATTTTGCGCAATGAGAATGTATGGCCTGTTGGATTAACATCTCAGAGCTTTGGCTTTCTCATGACCACAATAGAAATAACAGAAATAATGCAATAAAGAAGAACTGTCATATGAATAGCCAGTTAAGCATGAATACCCATTGCATGGGTCTAGCCCTGGGCTACTCAATAAACAGTTACTAACATTGGTATTCCTCTTATATGAATTGTAAATATTTGTATTCATTGACAATATTTGCTCATACATATATCTTGAAACCTCTTTAATCAGATAGACATTTTATAAAATGTGAGGGGTGGAGAAAGAAATTCTTAATACCTTTGTAGAAAACAATATTCAAAAAATCATAATAAAAACTATGAACCTTAGAGTTGCACATGTAAATTGTAGTAAACCAGAAAATGAACATTTAAATCTGCCTGAGCAAGGGAGTAATGTTAAAAGTGCTGTACCCAGTGGTGCTGAGGCTCAAGTGGTAGAGCCCTCACCTTGAGCTGAAGAACTCAGGGACAGCACCCAGGCCCAGAGTTCAAGCCCCACGACTGACAAAAAAGTATTATACCTAAAAAAACTGTTATTTGGATAGAGAAAATAACACATGAAAAGCTAGAGGTAAAGAGAGAGTGGATATAATTCAAGAATATAAAATTAGATTGGTCTTGCTTAACCATGAAGTTTGAGGCCAGAAGGGGAGAGGATTGAAAGTGGAGATCTAGGCAGGTGCATTGGCCTTGATTGTAATGGAAAGCATTGATATTTCTGTGCTGAAGGAAAATGTGCAGAATTTGAAGCAATTGAATGTGTAACTATATTTGTGTGTTAGAAATATCATGGTTTGATACATGTGGTACTTGGCTAAGAGTCATGCTGAATTTCCCTGAACATCTAAAAATTAATTTAGGATATGGCTGAAGTTTTTGGAGTGGTTCCATTTTACTTCATAAGAAGATACTTGCCTCCTTGTGTGAGTTATATTATGTTCTGAAAATTAAATGTCACAGGCATCCCCAGATTTGCTCCTGAAGGATTCTTCTTACCATAATAACAACAACAATAATAACACAAAATTAACCCACATATTTTAACTACTTGGATTTTAAAGCATTATTTGGTAGTAGAGATTGAATACTGCCATAAAGAAAGAATCCATAATTCACATCTAGAGAAGTTTAGTAGCACTGAGTTTGAATTACCAGCTGGCCATTTTTTAATAGAACTATCACAAATGACTATGTTGCCATGCAACAAGAAGAATAAACTGTGTTGTTTATACTTCTACGAAATTAAAGGTTCATTGGCCTCCACCAGGGGGGAGAGTTCACAACTCTGCAATTGTTGACTTGAGATGAGTGAGATTCCAATACTGAAGCTACTGCTTTTTCGTAAAGAGAGAGGAAACTCAACTATTTAATGCATAAATGGGTGTAACAAATAGGCTGTTGTAAAAATTAAAAAAAGAGCTGATAAAGCAAGACTGTTACTGAATAGATTGCTTTTTAGTATTTATCTGACATACAAGAAATCTAATTAAAACCATGGAATTTCTTACTTTCTCTTGATGATATCCTAGAAGAACATTTATAGAACTATAAATGAAATATGAATAAAAAGTTAATTACTGTATGAGCATCTGAATAACTGCTGATCACTGCTGTTCATTTTTAAAACCTTGAGTATAATAAATAAATATTTGAAATGTCTTCATAACTTAGTAGAGGTTTTTAAAAAGCTAAACATACAAAGAAAAGGTCAATTTCTTTCTGTTACCATGATAAATTAAGTAGAACCTAAATGCCTAGAGTATTAATAATCCTCAAAATCATCTGTCTTTTAAATATATGTTAAGCAATCCTTCCAAATCACTTCTACTTCAAAAGTATTACTCCTTTACATTTCTTAGATCACAATATATATTTCTCTGTAGTAGTTTGATAATACATTGCAAAAATTTTTTACATATTGATTGCTAGCACTGGATGAGGTCTTATTGTTCTGTTTCCTGACATGAAGTCTGGTGCCTCGTAGATGCTCAAGTAATAGCTCTCTCTTCCTCTCTCTTTTCTCCCCTCCTCTCACTCCTTCCTCCCCTCTAGATATTAATTCATTATCCTAGGTCTATTCCCTAGAACTAAATTCCTTAGGCACTACCCAGATGTGCTTCTGAGAGTCAGATCTGCTATAGGTTCTCTATAATGTTTTTAATTGTCTGTGAATATTAAGGTGATATTCGCCTTAAATAAAAGTGGGAGGGATAGATGGTATAATCAGAGGCACAGTTATGCTGAAGGCTTTATTTAGTTTCCTTTTGAGTGATACAAAGTGCATGTGAACCCTTGAATATTTAAAAATGATTACATGATTACTCTGGGGACAACAAGTTGTAATAGAGGAAGCAAAAGTAAAAGTCTATGTTAGCTCAGAAGCTTTCACGAATGTCCTATTGCCTGTTGGGGCAAACCAAAGCTTCATAGTCTACCATCCAGGGATCTGAGTTTACTGGCCATAGCCAACTTACTGAACTCATAGACACTCTTAACTCCAATCACACAGCCATTTTATGAATACCTTGTCAGTGTCATTTGCACACATTACATCCTTAAGCCTAGTTGACATTATTCCCCCTCTTTCCTTATGAAAGTCTTACTCATTCTTAAACATTCAAAATAACAAGAGCTCATGAAGTTCTTCACAAACTCTTTAACAAAAATGATTAATCATCTGTTTACACCTGATTTCAGAAAAGTTCTCTTTTTAACCTATAATTATCTTTCCTTGGACTTAGAATTATGCTATTTTTCATTTTGAACTTACAAATCACTCCTTCCTATCATTTTGTATTTGTATCTTCCATCAAATATATTTGAGATGTGTATTGAAAAATGTGAGAAAATATTCCTATATTAGCATTTGTATATTTTGAGATCACTTGTATGAAATATTTCATTTCAATGTTCATTCGAATGAATTCTTTTGTGCTTAAGGCACAATGTATGGTGGCTGCATAGTTCTGTTTCGTTACCACTATATATTTATTTTTGAGATTAAAGGTGAAGATTGCAAGTAGAATGAGATGATTATCAGTCTTTGAATAATATATTGCACAGTTTCATATTGACCATTTATTTCAGATAAAAGCCAGTGATAAAATAAAGGTTTGCATCAGGAGACTGCTTTGGTGTCCTTTGCAGGTCAAAATTTAGGACTGGTTGTTATTCTTTGTAATTTCCTTTTAAAACTAAGTTCACAAACAAGACCACACTAAAGCTACCATTCTGTTTTTTTTTGTTGTTTGAGTTTTTTTTTTAACTGTATTTTTTTTGTCTTTTCTTTTTTGGTACTGGGGATCGAACCCATGGTGTTGCACTTGCTAGGCAAGCGCTTTGCCACTGAGCTACATCCCAGCCCACCATTCTGTTTTTATAATATATCATTGTATTTAATATAGAGATTTGGAGGAGAGAAGATAGTGGTTTGAATTGGTACTGTACTCATTTCAAACTGTACTAAACTAGATATTTTTCTTCGTTTTGCTTAGTTCACTGTCATCATCTGGGAATGAAGATTGGTGTGATCTCAAGTTACTGAGGAGATTAAATGTGTTGATACATGTAAACCACCCAATACTCCATCTAACAAGCCATAAGCACTCCCTCAAATATTAGCAAGATTTTCTGCATCAGCTCATTTATTTAGCAAGTGTCTGCTATGTGCCAGACACTCTGAGCTAATGAACAAGAGATGGCCCCTGTCCCCATGGAACTTTCTGATTGGCTTGAGAAGTTTTCTATAGAACAAGTACATTTTGCTTCCTTCTTTACCTATAATGGTTAAATGGAAGAATCTTTGTTCTTACAGAGTTATCCTCCATTTTAGCATACAAAAATATCAGTTTTCTACATTTTCTTGGCTTCTTTGAAAGGATATTGTTTCAGTGCCATCCATTTACTGCTACATGCTTGAATAATCTCCTCTGGCTTCCAGTCTCAAGTTCAGGGAGAATGGTCCTTTCCTTTTCTTCCCTCAAGCTTTGCCAGGAGAACAGTGGGTTACATATATAAAGTGTGGTTGAATGGCTGACCTGATTCCAAGATCGCTTTTGGAGGTACTTTCTCTTACAAGTGCCCAGGCTAGGTGTGGGGTTTAAACCTTTCGGATTTCTTCCAGTTGTCAACAGGAAGATCCAATCTGGTTTTAACACATATCTTACATCTTGTCTCATTATGATGATCACTCCCAATTACTTACAGCTGCTGCATATTATTTTCAGTCTTGGCAGTTTTCCCTTGTATTGCTCTAGTTTTTATTTTTAGGCAAGAGCAAATGTAACTGTGAAATATTTAGTCTTGGTACAATACCAATTACTTGCCTAGGCAGTTTCCCTAAATTACTCAGGCTTTAACTAAACTAGCTTTGAGTCATATTTTTAGAATTCTTCTTGCAATCTTTATAGGTAGATTAATTTCTTTCCACATTAATTCTGCTCCCCTAAGACAAAACTTGCCTCAACTTATATTTTCTTAGGAAGTTTACATCTTAATGGGATGTTGATGATTTATACTCAGACTAGATTTTATGCAAAAGAGAATGATTAATGTGCTCAAAAATAGAGAACATATTAGATACTGAAAATTATGCACCACTGATTAGATCACATTGATATTATAACCCAGTATTACTAGATAGAGTAGGAGAAACTTAAATCTCTTTTGACTAATCTTCACATACCCCTTCCCTGCCCCCCCAAAAGCCATTTACATTATCATCAGATACAGAGGCTATTTGGACACTGATTGCATTTCAGTGTTTTTCTTCTTGTTTTGAGATAGATTTTCTCTATATGGCCCAGTCTGGTCTTAGACTCACAATCC